GTACATGTGATGTGACGCAGTAGTTTTTGAATTATTAACGCGTGAAGTTGTCCAAAGACTTTCTTAACGCACTGTAATTAAAGCTATTAGCTCCAACAATGCAAAAATATATTCAGAAAGGATATATTATTCCAGTTGTTGCTAATTGGCTGGAATATCTCGTTATTTATATTATCATAATTTGTCCAAAATTACTGATAATATTTTATCTTTTCTTCCAATTATAGGTCCTTTACATATTTCATTAAATAGCAGTGAACTAATACTTCTTCAATAAGACCATTTTTTTTAGATGCATAAATATATTTTCGGAGATCAAAACCTAAGCTATGGCAGATTAATTTACTTTTAGAAATTGCTCGTAGTGCTTGGTAGGAAATTTCTACAACTATTGAGAAAAAATTTGGATTTTGTAAAGATGCTGAATATCTTGCACTCAAAGATCTTCTTGACAATACAATTCCTCTTATTCTGGATATTCGTGCTGTATTTTTTCGATCTGTGGATTTTGGTGCATATTTGGAATCTTGTTTTTGGGTTTGAATAGATTCTTTAAATTCCATCGAAGAAATTACACCAAGGCACCATTAATGTTTTTTTCTGATATTTTTTATTGAGAATTAAACAATCATCCAATTTTAGAGATTATTAAAGCTGAACTTACGAAGTTTTAGACTCAGCTGTAGAAATATTTCATAGTTTTCTACGAAGTGCACAAAAAACATACAGAAGTTCAACAAATTATTAAATATGGTCACTATATTAATCAATTACGATTAGATAATAATGAGTTTAAGGAAAATTTTGCAAATACATCGACATGGGCAACATATGAATATTCTGCACGAGATATGACTTTAACAAAGATAAGTGCTTGTTTTCTATTGCAGTTTTTTTCTAATATTTATTCACGAATATTTCATGATAATGTATTCTTGGAATTTCCATTGCAGGATATAAGCTCATCTTCAAAAAGAAAGGGCAAAGACGAAATTAATAATATTGTTTCATTAGCTTCAATGAAAATGCCTGAGTCATCTTCCTTTAGATTTTAATACTGTATACAAGCCAAATCTGCTTTGTTATCGTGATCATCTAATTGTTCTGTTCTTTTAGATACAGATATCAAAATTCTAGCCTGTTGTCACGTATCATAACTTTTTTTATGTTAATAACGGACTTAAATGTTTATATTTTCATTCATTTCACAAAATGATATTGATAAACAAGTCTCTATTTAATTCAATATTTTGACTTAACATAATGATAAATTAATAAATTACAAATGTAAAAATTATTTAAATTGTTATGAAATAAATTATATTATTAACTTTGAAATTGTGTCTATTCCGCTGTGTCTCTTGGACGAATGGTAAGACTTGCAGAAAATCTTTGCTTATCAACAATAAAATTTTCGCCTTTAATGGTTAATCAACTGAAAACTGTGATCGAATATCCTGAAGTGTAATTCTATAGTCAGCAATGTTACCGATAGTAATAACACCATTTATTTGATGTTCAGTGAGTCGATATTTTAAAATTTTATCATCAACACGCATTATTTTTACAGCCACAATTTATCCCGGGAATAAAAATTCATCATTTACACCCGTTTCCATTTCAAATACTTGATCAGCAGTTGGTATTTCAAAATTTCAGCGTAGATCGGTAAAAGGCCTAACTTTATATTATATAAAATAAGATTTGATGGAGATTCGTAATATTTTGAAAAACTTTTTGCATAGTCATCCAAAATAAGATCATTAAGTTTTCGGGCTCAGCCATCAGTCATTTAAGATATCAACACGGTGATTACAGTACATCTCTTCTTTGGCTTCCTCATCATCCAAATAAAGTGTATCGCAAACCATTTTATGTACAAAATTATAATATGTTGGATGAATTCTGGTGTCATCAAAAGAACTGGATCGTTTAGGACGAACTCGAATAAAATCGGCACAATTTGTGTAACTATTTTTCCTACTATCATTTTTATTAAATCTTTACATCTTTCTAACTCCATAATTCCCTAAATATTTAAAAGAAAATGATTAATAAATAAGTAAAACTAATAAAATTATAACTTACAATAATGAAAAATACAAATAACTTATGTCGGAAACTATTTTTTAATTAAAACTTCAGCTTAACGGGCCTAATCCACTTACAAACTGAAGAAGATCCATTTTATTTATTGTATGTAGAACTTCATTAATACTGACACACAATATCGTTAATGACATTTATGAACCCTCGTTATAAACATTCAATAAGTTTTTCACGAGATAACTTGAAAAAGAGGAGTAAGATTTTAGGGAAAAAAAAATTAGATTAAAAGGAACAAAAAAAGAAATACAGAATTACAAATAATTAAAAAAACAAAATAAAATAAATACAAAGTTCTGTAATGGATGATGCTACTTTTTATTCAATAGCAGATATTCGCCAATTGGATTTTGTAACATAGAGCCAAAGATATACAATATCTTGCTCCTTCATCATAATCAGGAAATTCTCTTTTTGCTCTTGTAGACAACATATATAATTTAGCTATTTCATCCATCATTAATTGCTATGACAGGAATTTCTTCACCACCTCGTTTGTTATAATATTCAATAGCCTCTTGTACGGTTTCTAATAAATACTTCGTTCGCCCATCGTAACATCGTACTACAATAGCTTGAGGTTTATTTTTACGAATTAATTGAATGAAATCATGATATTCTTTCATATCCCTTTCTCTTAAGTTGGTAAAGCTTAAATGATCAACAAATCTTCCACTATTATCAAGGAAAACGCTTCCTTCTTACGATGACGATGACCTCCAGGACCCCATGATAAAGCTGTAACTCGTGGTTCCAGCAGATTTAAAAGGACGGACGTAATTTCTAGATGAAAATAATAAAATTTGAGTAAATCATTATTATAAAATATCGAAAAATTGTTAATAATGAAAAATGATCAAACTATTTACATCTTCAAAGTTTTCCATAGTCTTCGTCATGACCTATTGTTCTGCATCTTTAGTAAGGCGTGACTTAATGCAGAGATTCATTATAGGCTGTAATACATTATTAAATGAATCTTGAATGACGTTAATACGATATTTGTGCCATGGACTTTCTGATTTATCGGCATTATTGATGATTCGTTTTTCAAGAATTTGAGAAATCTTTGTTCTTTTTCTAAAACAACCTTGACTTTAATCTGATCTTTCTGCTACGCTGCCATTATTTCAGCGAATAACCCACTCTTTCTAAATTTACTAATATGCTTTCTTAAAAATCGGAATGTCTAATAAATTGAATATAGATTGTATATAAGTAAATAAGAAATATCATGATTTAAGTATATATAATATTAAATTATTATTATTTCTTACCCATGATGGATCGGATTCACTGATACTTTGTACAGGTCTTACTAAATCACGCTGTATCTGATGAAATTCTGGCGAACATATTTCCTGAATAATGGATCAAATGCAATATCTGAGCAAGCATTTGGTTGCATCTATGAATAGTATTATTAAATGCGATTATTGAATCCGATTATTAATGCAGTTATTAAATGCAATTGATAAATTTTTGAATAAAAAAAAATTTTACTACCTGCTAAACTGAGTCTGGGATTAGATTTAAAGCACTGCTCAGCAATCGAAGGGTCAACCTCAGGTTCAGTATGATGATTAATTTAGGATTTTCCTCAATAAGACTTTTAGTAAATGATTCCACATATACCCATACTCTATGTGTAATATGTGTAATTAAAATTAATAATCAATATAAATAATCTAATATAATCTAATATAATCTAAAATAATCTTTAAGAATTGTAAACAAATAAACTACTTACTAATACATCAATCCCTTGATTCAAGCATTCCTCATAAAATGATGCTTCTTTTAGGTGACGAGGTGTGTTAGAGCTTTCTGATGATGACGCTATCCTCCTTGAATATTCATGATGGAAATAGTCATGTAGATCTGAAAGTGCTTCTTCACTTGAGGCGGAAGATTTAATATGTATTCATTATCAACATCTATTTGATATTTGGAAATCATTCCTAGTATTGCTTCTCGTTTTTCTATAAATAATCTATATCTGTACTCCAAATCGTAGATATGCCACAAATTAGAGCATTAAGGATTTCATGCGATACCGAGGAATCCTTATGGAACCTAATAACAAAAAAAAACACGTGTAAGGAAATGTGATAAAGAATAACATATAAGAAAGAAAATTTAAGTACCTCAAGAACTTCTATCTAAGACATTTTATAACTCTTTTAATAGCAATAAATAATTGTGAGGATTTACGGTGCCATCATATTCTGAAAAATTATCGAAAATAATTCTGGCGGCTTCTTCAACTTCCTCATCGGTCAATTTTCTTCAGCAACAATATCTGGTCGAAGCTATAAATAAATTAAATTAAATTAAATAGTTAACATTAATTTTATTTCATCTATTTTTTTTTTTTAATAAATCAACTCACTTTAAATCTCTCTGGTATATCTTTGGTTTTAACAATTTTGTCCTCTCCCGTCATTTTCATTTGTTTTAGCGCACTAGGATCTAAAATAGCTTCTATGCCTTCAGCAAATTCAAGTTCATCTGGTTCCTCCTAAGTTTACAAATTTTAATAATGATATACAATCAATCTATTTCCAAATTTAGACCTTATTTTCTTACTTATAATATCATATTTGCCCTCTAAATCTTTAAATATTTCGACCCATGTTCTTTGTTGTCTAATTTGGGATTAAAGTTAAAATTATAATTAAAATTATCATCATGAATCAAAATAGAAATTAAATTTTTTTTTTTTTTCAGAAAGAGACTAAAATTATAACATCTTTCCCCTGGTCAATATCATCAACTTCATATCCTAATCGTCGACGACGAAGTCTGATTCATTTCCGAATTGGTTCTCCATTATCTCGTCCTCATCAAATATTCGAGATACGTCATGTTTATGTTCTTGATGACGACCTCTTTTTAGACGCTGAAATTTTGGCTAAAATACGAATTATACGAATTATATTTAAATTAATAAACCATAAAGTAATATTAAAGAAAGTATTTTGGATTGTTTGATCGCGGAATTTACCTCGCTTCTGGCAATTTTTATGCCAGTATTTTCCTCCAACGGATCAAGGTCATCATCAGAAACTTCGTCTTCGTCGTCTACTATTTGAAGATGAAGTTAGTTTTATTGTTAAAAATAAATGAAATTAAGGAAAAAAAAATTTTTATTACAATCTAGGCTCTTCCCCCTCTTTCTTTTCTTTTCCTTCTTTTTTTTCGGAGGCGGAGATCTCTCCTCCTCATCGTCAACGATAAAGTCTCTTGCGACCCAAATATGTATAGGATTTTGTACTTGCCAGCTTCAAATTTAAAGTTGGGCCGAAGATCCATTTGTTCCAGCAGCTACTTCTTTGGCTGCCTCTTCGTCAGTTTCTTCTTCCTCCTCGGAGGAATCCATGGGCATTATAGCTTCTCCCTCCTCTTGGATATGATCATCAATTTCATTATCAAATGATTCTGACATCTTCATATATTAAAAAGAGAAAATGTCGGTGGGAAAATTGAGCTTTTCTTATAATAGGGATGAGAATGGTTGGTCATCAGCTGATACAGCTGGACCGATCAACCTTTTAAAAAAATATTTTTTTTTGAATCTCGACGTTTTTTGGGATTTAATCATATCTTTTTTGCTTTGGAGATTTGGGTTTCAATAAATTATTGATTTACTACATACAATAATTTGATCTACGTTCTTTATCATAGTATAGATTTTACCCTATTGTTATTTCTTTTTCGGTGAAGTCACGGCACAAAATACCTTCACCCAGTTGGTGAGTATTGGTAAGTTCTTAAGTTCAATCACTT